GATTTGTTTTAGTAATAGCTAAGTTTATAAATAACTTTTCAATAGTAGGGAGTTTCTTATCTTCAACACCAACTAATGGTCAAATAGCGGTTTACTCAGCATAACAGTTTATTTCGGTTTGACCATGACATTTGGGTGGCGCCTACTACATTTTATAGCGCATTTTATATATAAAATATACACATTTTATTGTATATCTGCCTCTTTCTATGGCTGTATCTGGTAAATATATATATTAAACATACAAATTATAAGATATTATTTTCGCCCGCGGCTTATATGTCTTTCTTGTTCCTTTTCCTACAAATGCTAGCTATCGCATAATTATCGAATATATAACTAGGCATTCGTTTTTGTTTTATAACGATTTATAACAGATATATTACAGGTAGCTCATAAATTGTGTGAGTGTGGTACTCGTATTTAAAAATCAATTAACAAGAACAAACAGCGAAACGATCTTTCTCAAATGTTTCTCGTTTAATGCTCTTTGAACGTGGTGTCATTGGTCTCTGATATAGTTTGATTCAATTGACCAACTGTATAGTTCCTCATTTTAAATTGTGTATTTACGGTCATGTGTTGAATGAAAACAACCTCTTTTATGAAAAGAATAAGTGTTTATTTAATAGTTACGTGAGAGATGTCGTTTAATTCATTTTGCTAGTCGATACGATATCTATTAAAAGTTTAAATCGATGTTATTTACTGTAACAGAATAGTCTGTTTCTGTAATTGATATAGTAGATTATAAAATCTTAAGAAATAAGTCTATAAAAAATAATGTTATTGTATGAATGTTAGAGTTTATTTTACCGTATAATGGTAAGTTTACAATGTCAAACCAACCTAAGATGGTGTTAACTAAAATTGTATTATTGAGTTTACGTTACACAGGTTACATAATTAACGTTACGTCATATTGTTTATCTTCATTGTCAATGCTGAATTTGATATAGCGAAAAGCCTTGTTATCAATTGCCGGTTCCTCAGTTACTATGTAAATATATCTGACCTTAATGCGTTTCAAGTGATTTGTAAAAAGTGCCAAACGCTTAGTTGAATTAGCATCTTCAAGAAATGATGATTTTATATACGCAAATTTTGTGATATCATCTTCAGCCCTGTTACGGCTCAGGCCTTCCTTATGAATGGTTAAGGAGAATGGGCCATAACCCTTCACGCTGACCCAATGAGTATTGGAGGGTATTAATGACGACTGCAAATGCAGCCGGAACGGCCTTCAGAAGTACGGAGTAGCTCGAGAAATATTTTTTGGTTATTCATTCTGTGACTGACCTTTGCGAAAGTTGCTTATGAACAACGTTCCCGGGTTGCGGCGCTTATCCACTGTAATAATGTAAATGTTAAGGAATATCCTTTACAACGTATTCGCGAATCAGAACCCTGATTTATTATTATACAAGCCAAACTATTATTTTTCCACGTTGTGGACTACTAGGAACAACAAAAAATGCATCTTTACATTGAAAGTTTATGTAAGATCTTGGCGATTACATAAAAATCTTGTCCGTGATGGTCTAATCGACACACTTCACGCCTACACGCACTCATAGTTAACATCTTGAGTGTTGGCACAGAGGTATAGATTCAGAATATGTTTGTAATTGTATTTACCAATAGTTTAAAATGTGTATCTTTGGGAGATTAGTATATTTGTGTGATGAACTTTCTTAGTTCGTGGTAAACAAGAAGGAAACTTTGAAAAGGTAGGATTTGTTAAATGCACAACTTGAATTGTAATCACATTCACTTAGTTTACGCTTATATCTTCTTCCAGGCAAAAGTTACAGTCTGGATAAATTAAATAAAAATCTAAGTCAGGTAGCTTATGGTGTTTTAAGAAGTACATTACGTAGATATAACGTAATACACTTACTTAGTATTATTAATATATTTACTGATTTATTTATTTTTAAAATGCGTGTTATAATAATAACCTCAGCCTCCGAATCGCTGCTGTTAAGTGAACCCGTAAAAAATGGAAACTATTTCGTACTTTTATATTTCGCTAAGAATCACGCCAAAATTGGTACATCTGGTAAGATTTGGTAAAATTAATGAGCCCATGTCGTGAAGAATGAATTTAGTCTTTCTGATTTGATAGTGCACAGGAAAAAATTGACAACTAAGGCCACAAAATATTAATAAGTCGATGCAATTTCTATGAAAAAGAATGGACGCAATGAAATAGTGCATTTTAAACGAAATAATAATTAATGTAGAAGGCTTTATGCGGTTCAGGTCCTTTGATTGTACAGCTACATACATCAATTGGAGTGGATTACTTGCATTTTAGGGTTAGAGGTTGGGCATTGCCTAAGTTACCTTTCTCTTATGCTTCTACACATTGTATTTTATATATATTCAGTGAAATATTGAAGTTGTGATGTAAAACATACCACATAGGCTTACATTAACTATGTCGTGTTAGTAAATTTTATTTAAAGGCCTTGAGTTTAGAATTACGACATTTTCCTAAGCTCCAGATCCAGTGCCTATTGTTATTTAGTAAGACAATATCAAATTTAATGGTCTGATCCTAAGATAAGTGACTAAACTACTCATAATATGGAAACCACCTTAGAACACTTGACAATTTTAATAGTTGCATAATTTTTTTTTGCGGTATTATCAGATAACATATTAATGAAACACTGGCTTCTGAATTTAAGAAACTTGTGTCTCAGAAGCCAAAATTTGTTATATAGGTATTTAAATATATCCACATCCAAATAATTGCATTTGGCTAGTATTTTAAAAATTTTGATTACTAAAGAGAATACGTACGTACACCAAAAATTATTAAATAAATATATGATACCAGCTGTTCGACTCCGCCAGCGTTAAATTTATAATTTTTTAATCGTTTTAGTAGTTTCGGAGCATGTTCAATGCAAATAAACAAAAAATAAAATCTAACATTTTTTGTAAAAAAACACAAATTATTAAATAAAGGTTTTTCATGGTTTAGTTCGCGTATTTTTTTTTACATTTTCAGATATTTCTGAGCCTTTACAGGTTCAGTATTCATTAGACTATTATGTTGGTATTGTAACAAGTTGATGAAAACTTTTAAAGATATTTTTATTGTATACAATTTAGTGTTAAACATATTAGTGTAACCTTGATTCTTTCTCTATTTGAATGAAAATAAAAGTAGAAGATGTTGCATCGGCCTCAGTCTTTATACAGACGTTTTTCAGTGGTTAAGTTTTCGTATTTATTTTCACTTTGAACCTATCATCATTACTTTCAGTTCTTTCCCACATTGCAGAATTAATAGTGAGGTCAGAACGCAGTGAAAGTGGTTATTGCAAGCGAACTTTCCTTATCTTTACAACTACCGGGAGCGCCCTATTATGCGCAAGAGTCGATCGTGCAATCGTACCCATTTAATAGAAGCGCTAATGATATAATTCTTCTTCATCGATGCCGGTGTAACAGTGATTGGTGTTACTCTTTATGGAGGTTCTTAGGTAAAAAGAAATCTGTTTTACCCTATTGTCTATTGAATTTTAGGTTAATGCCTGAAGTTTTTGGGAGTTTTAGTTCGCCACTGAGATCGAACGAGTTAGTTCGCGGCTCTTAAATGAACTAGTTTGCTCTTTTAGTTCGTGTAGATTCCTAGCTTTTCGCTTTTGCAGCAGGAAACAATATTATGGCTTGTCTATTATCATTCATCTATGGGAATAATATTTATTGGGGGTTAAAATTCATGTTATTCTTCAGCTGTCCATATATGTTCATAGATATCACTCCATATACAAGTCCTTTGTAACGTCAACGAAGAACAAAAAGCAAACGAAAACACTTTTGCATTTCTATTATTACTGTACAACTATGGGGCCATAGGTATACGATAATATTATGATATTTTTTATTATTTCGTTTCTTTGTTATCTTATGAGTATTGACATTAATTGTAGGTATAATTAGATTTATGGTTGCACTACAATCTTAAACTCTCAATTACATTACTCCCCAGTTTATTGAAAAATAATGTCTGATGGCAATAAGTATACCATTTTACGAAGTTTAAATAAATAAATACATGTACACATGTGATATATCGTATTTGTTATTTTCATAATGGGCTCATAACGAATCCAACACTGAATTGATAAAAGGCGTGGCTCAATCTAATTAATGTGGGAACTGAGACACGATCGACATTCCCCATTATCTATAGTGCACGGTATAATAGTCCATTGTATAGTTCTTTATTTATTATAAAAATACACTTAATTCCATTGGACAAAAGAACTATGAATGGTGAATGACCCTGACAGAGAAATATTGTTGCATAAACGTTAAAGTACACGTTTATCTATATCAATTTATTAGCTCATCGATTCTTAGTCATATATCTAAAATAATATTATGATAATTTTGATGTATCGTAAAAAAAGTTAAATCTTGTATGGTATATACTTGAATGTGACTTTATTTTTCGTATGTAAAATCTTGTTATAAGAATTCTTTTAATATGTATATATTAATGAATACGTTATGATTGATGTACGCCGTTCAATATTAGCATATAACCAGCAATATTTGATTATTAAAAAAGCAACTAGTTTATACACAATATACAGCAGTGCAGCGACGAGTCGAACAAAAGACATCAACGAATCAGTTGTTGCAATAAATATGAAATGTGCAGTGAAAATTAATCATTGACTAGAAATAAAAGTTTTTAACGTATATCTTTTTCATACAGACAGTTTTTTTAGTCTCGTTGTAAGCTGTGCTTTGTATATAACCAGAAACGTCTAGAATTATAGAAATGACACCTTAAACACGTTGAAAATTGACTTAAAACATATTCATGTTATCATAAACTGATAACTAAATGATTAAATATATGTTTGTTTAGGTATTTGAAAGTAAACTGATATATTGTCTTGTGTGTAATTGAAAAATAGATATTTGATGAGGTTAAATATTTTCTAATTGTTTTTTTTAATGTGTTTCAGGCAAACCTGGTACTGACTATCCTGTCCTGGGCGCAGTTCCATACACTAACTTTTACTGTGATGACCAGCCTTATCCTGGTTTCTTTGCAGACATGGACACCAGATGTCAAGGTATAATCTATCTAACGCATAAGGACCCCGCCCTTGCCTTATGGAAACTGGCTTTCTGTCAAATCGGATGAAACTATGATGAATGGATAGAGGAAGTCTTCCTGAGTAAAAGTCCTCATGGGCACTAAGCCCGAAAATCGAGACTTTTAGTACTTTTGGGCATTCGAAGTTTTTGATTTTGGATTCTAGCAAAATCAATAAATCCTTGTAGGGCCAACAAATAAGCATGGCTCGAGTGTTTGTCATTCAAAAGGCCATGAACACGCTTTTAAAGAACTTTTTCGCGAAAAACAGCTCTTTCCTCCGCCCCCGCGTGTGGTGGGTGGGTGAGTAGGTGGGGGGTCAGTCGGGCACGGCTCAAGTGTTCCGTCAATCATGAGGCCATTATAACATTATAAAAGAACTTTTTCGCAAAAAACCGCTCCCCTTCCACCCCCGTAGGTGGGGGAGTGGGGGGGGGTCAAATAGGGTGTCGTTCGAAAGGTCTTGAAAAAATATTCGATACGTATTTTTTCTTTTATGTCTAATTGAACTTTGGGCCGATTCTACAAGGATGTATTGATTTTGCTAGAATCCAAAATCAAAAACTTCGAATGCCCAAAAGTACTAAAAGTTTCGATTTTCGGGCTTAGTGCCCATGAGGACTTTTACTCAGGAAGACTTCCTCTATCCATTCATCATAGTTTCATCCGATTTGACAGAAAGCCCATTTCCATAAGGCAAGGGCGGGGTCCTTTGAATTTTTTCTAGACATTTTTACGTGAAAATTAATTAATAATAATTGATTATTAGGAAAATTTTATTTACATAGTTTAAACTGAAATCGCTTAGCACTGTTTGTACGCTGATATCTTTTAAACTATGCAGGGGATTTTAAACTATTCAACGTGATTCAATAGCAAGATTTATATATAAGTATAATACAGAAACACGCGGGCGAAACTGCTGGCGGAAAGTTAACTGGGAATCTACATACCATTAGACAAAATACATAAATACATATTCCTGTAAAATTTTAAATTCTGCTAGTTAGGTTAGGTTAGTATGAGTTTTTTATTTATTTATAAAACGGATTAATAATTTACCTTGAATTGATAGCTTAAATCTATATAGCAATACTATTTTTCTCCCTTTTTAATACGAATTATGTTTATGTACGTTTTGAGCTTTTAAATAGAATTGAAATTTTGAAGTCTAAATACTTAATTAATAACAGAAAAGATAGGTTCTGAGTACAACTCTTCTTTGTGAAGATAATAATATGTATATGTTTTGAAGTGAGCTAAAGTTTCTTTACTTATTAGAAACACGGTAAACATAAAGATCATATAAAAATATTTGCAAAGGTTGTTTTGTAAGTTGTTAGCAATATCACAAGCAGATAGCGTAAGATTTCACCAATGAATTGAAACATTCCGTCTTTCTTGAACAGTGTATTTAAATAACAGCCGCTTTGACTTATTTTATACCCTTCTATACAGAGAAGATTAAACACGTGCATAAAAAGTAAAAGTTTTCATTTCACGCTCACGACGGATCAGTGATCACGATCGAATCTGGTTGCATTTGCAAGAGATTTCCATTTTTACATAAAATTGTCAAAAGGCTAAATTGAAAGAGTTTCACAAATTCTTGATCGAATCATCTCAAGATAATTGCCTTTGTCATTGCCTTCAGAATAATGTGCAGATAGATAAAATAGAATAAACAACATTTTTAATCTCAAAATAAATAGAATTTAGTGACACGTTGTATCCCGGGATAGGAAATCCAATTATGTAACTGCATTATGGTAGGGTTGGTTTCATAGTTCCATATTTTGTCTACAAATATAATAAATCCAAGTTTATGAAATTATGACTAAATAATTGTTTTACTGCGACTTTCCCCCTCGTAAATTATAGCCCATATCATGGCGTATGATGCAATAGTAGCACGAAGGTGAAGGAACTTTAAAACTCGCTTCAGTAGTTTCGGAGTCAAACAAACAAACAAAAAATCATATAATTCTTCTTTATTTATAGTATTAGTATAGATATACAATTTTCATATGCAGTTACTTATCTTCTTCATCTTTTTTCTCTCCATTTCACAAACTGTCAATGAGTTTGCTGGAAGAAAACTCATAAGCTTGCCTTTTGTATAGAAGTTTCCAAAAATTTCGAATATTACAGTAACTAGTAGTTCGGTACCCTAATATTTGGTTTATTACTCTAAACATAATACTAATAATGTGTTAAGTGCATCGCAAGTATTTTATTAACAAGAATAAAATCTATAATATACATATATATAAATATATTGGAACCTCGAAATAACAAAAAAGCCTGTGTAGGCTGTAATGAGACGAGTCTATTGTCTGAATCAATATGGAGGTCCCAAACTCAAAATGGAATAATGTTAATAGGATGGTTAATAGCATCATCTTATACGTAGATACAACAAAACAGATATTCGTGCTGATGTAAGTGTTCTATTGAATCATCGGTCTGCTGTTTGTCAAAGTGCCCGTAAAATATAATCCCATTTGACTGTGTAGCCTTGATGGTGCCGAGATGATTAACTATACTGGCCTTATGGTACTAGAGGTCAACTAATTATTGCAAAAAGTTACACGGAAGACGATCTGACATGAAATGTTAGGTCGAAAACGTGAGATCCGCTATTGAATTAGATTAATCTTTATTGAGCTTTATCAGTGTCAGGTGTATCAATAATAATGATAATTCAATAGATAACTTTTAAGGGTTAAGGTGAACTTTTTGGTCAATATATTTGATAAATAAGATACAATATAAACGAACAGAAAGTAAAATAATATTGTTATTATTAATCTGAGTTGAGATTTCGGTCATAGTTTCGTGTTGTAGATTAAAATCCTTTGTTATTAACAGATAATAATGATATTGGTGTAAATGTATTTATATCCTCTAGGTTTGTCTAAAAATATATCAATGATGGCTTTGTATTATATTAGAAAAAAATCTACATTTTGTTTATATTAGAATAAACAAAAACGTTGTTATTGGGTTTAGCAAATGACATAACATATTTATTAGGCAAGATTTTGTAATTGTAGACACTGCAAACTGAAATAGTTGCATTGCAAACAAAGGATTATAAACTAAGAATATAATAATGATTTGTTTCTTTTAACGATTTTTTACTATTTTACAAAGTTAAGTTAGTGTGATGTTAGATAAATTCATTCAATAATACGTATTTGTACACACTGATTGGCGATTTCATAAAACATATTACCAAATGGGTTTATTTACATAGCTCATGTTGATTCTGTGTTTAACATCATATAAAATTATGAAATAAATTAGTTATTTATAATAACATGAACTGACGTCACTTTATTAAGTTTACTTTAGAGCCAAGACTTAATTTTCTTAATTCAAATAGCTTTATTTAGGATGTAACGGTGTGCCGTACCACCGTTTATGTCGTCCTAGGTTTAAAATATGCAAACTTTTTGTCTTTGATATTCAACATCATTTCTATTTATTATTCACCTTTCGTAATTTGAAAATTTGACTAATCAAATATGCTCTTTATGAATGTCAGTTCGTAATAAGTCTTCTGTAATGAACATGTAAATCGTATAAATTAAGAAATATAAATATTATAATTATGAAGATATGCGTCTAAAATAAAAATTATAAATTATATATATATAATTATATCATGTAATAGCGTCCAAATTTTTATTAAGAAACCCAAAAAGGGTTTCTTTTCTTTACCTATTATTACCATAAAATAAATAAATTCTCAAGCTAGTCAGCCTTTCTTTAATTCGCCCAAACATCGAACCGTCAACAAGGGTTTGTCTTCAGAGAATAAACGGGTTCTTTTATTACTAGCTTTTCCGCGACTACGGCCGCATAAATTATAGCCTATGTCACCCGCGTATACAGTTTCCTGTTTGTGAATTAATTTTTAAAATAAGTCTAGTAATTAGTTTCGGAGCCTATTCAATGAAAAACGAACAATTAAATATTTACTCTTTATAATATTAGTATAGATGACAGTTATGTTGAACTTATATTTAACCGTTGGCTTTATATATATAACGGGTGGGTAGTCCTCCAAAGGGGCTATTACGAAGGCCAAATAGATCGTCCATATCGGAGGACTATCTTTAAAATAACACTGCAGGCGTGTATACCAACGTGGATTTGTTCCATTTTATCACTTTTCTTACGAAAATATAACGAGATGAGCGTGATGTCATCGGATGTCTTTACTCCTCGGCGATCGGAAACAGAATGTGTGCCAAAATGGCGGCAACTTGGTTTTTATAAACGAACTGTCAAAGTCAGTGTCACCATTCTAATAAAATTAAAAGTATCGATGATCACGCTCTCTTTACAATCGAGTAATTAAGTAATCGAGTAACTAGCAATTAAAATAAAAGAAACTAAATCAAACGATCTTCGTAATGATGATGCGACATATATATTTATATGGGAGTGCTTATTATATTAACCCCATCTCGTGTATTAAGTAAATTTATGTCATTGAGTGCGTACCCATTGGCGGCGCGGTTAAAATATCATTGCCACTTAATTCTAATACTTCAGGAATACGAAATATGAAAGTGTAAGATATATTTAAAACGTGTAAACTTTTTAAGCTCTTTTAGATCTCTTTGTACATTTGATTTAATATTTTGTCAAAATAAATGATTGTAAAGTAAAATTTATCTCAACTTATTTCAGCTTGGCACTACTGTGACATCGATGGTCGTCAAGCGTCATTCCTATGTCCCAACGGCACTGTGTTCTCGCAAGGCGTGGCTTCTTGCGACTGGTGGTTCAACGTGCGTTGTGCTTTATCGCCCGCTCTCTACCCTCTCAACGCTCGCCTTTACCGTCGCCGCAAGCTGACGCGACCGAAACCGCACCGCGTCATAGACAAACAGCTTGTTGACGAGATATTTTTGTAAATGGAAATATGGATGTTCAGCAGCATTGTACAGTTGCTTCTTATTCGTGTTATTGCTGAAGATGTTTCATTTGTAAATAAAAAAGGTAAACGAACAATGATTAACGCTGAAAGAATGTTGAAAATGCGCGGTACGGATGAGGGTGTCAGAAATGCATTTTTTTAATTATTAATTTGATTATTTCATTAAAATAATTGATATACGCATTTGCTGCAGATGAACCGAAGTGTATATTTTCTTTGCTCGATTATAGTTAGTATTAAGCTGGAATTAAGTCTACCTCGTAAATATGCGCGTTATCTATTTCATACACGACACGAGGGACAGGGCAAATATAACCAGTCCTGTAGTAAATATGAAATCGATACGCGGGATGGCGTGGGCTAGACATAATTCCGGCTTTATCTGTGGCTTGGTACACATTATGAACGCATAGTTTTGGCGTAAATTTGTAAAACTAGTATTCTCGAAAATTTATTTAAAAAAATGTAAAGGATTCTAACTTCTAATCCGTATGTTTTTTGTGTTTTGCAGTATTTCATTTAATCGTATTTTAATTATAATTTTGTTAAACTATGTAGGTATATTTTTAATTATGAGGTCTTGATAGTAAGTTTACAAAGAAAAGAATAGATTAAAACGTAATAAAAGTATATAATAATGTTACCGAAATTCAAATTTCTTATTTATGACTTTATTCGGTTAGGCATACACACCAGAAGATCATGTAAATACGAAATGTAAAATATTTGCAATCCATATTGATATCAGTGCCATTAAGGTTTAAAATCCATTAGAGAAATCTTTGAGTTTTTATTACCTGACTTTCTGTTGAGTTAACGTTCGATTAGACACGTATTTTGTGTAAAAGTTATGTAAATGTTCAATTGACTTGACTTAAATGATTTAATTCTGAAAAAAAAAAACAATTGAAAAAATGTCTTTTTCTATATTCAAATTTTATGTATGTTCACCGATATTTCCGCCAATTGCTGACCGATTTTTAAAATTCATTGTTTATTCGACAGTTTTAGGGACTAAGGTCCAAGGGTCCATGAAATGTCACTTTAATATATAGATGATATATTTATTTCTGCAAAAAAGATTGCGTATTTTGCATTCATTCAAAATCCGAAAGGAGAATTTTCTATATTCAAGGAGTAAAGTAGGTATGCTCATCGATTTCTTCTTATTATGTAGGTTCCCGTAGATGAAAGACTTATAAATCAGTCCAATATTTTCGGAGCCTATCCAATGCAAACAAATAAGCGATTGGAAAAAAAATGTGTGTAGTTTTCCATCACAATATTAGAAAATATAAAGAGTATATTTACTCTTCAATCGATTAATAAACACTATGATACTGCGCCCAACCACTACACACTTGTGAAAAGGGGCCATATTTTACACCAAGGAGTTTTTATATTCATTAAAAGTATATTATTCTTTACTAAGTAGACAATTATTAATATGAGTCTTAAATTAAGACAATGGTAAATTTAAAATTTCCATAAATATCCCAATATTTTTTGGAATTTATTTTAAAGTGATGTTCTCCAACCTAATTGATAAATAGCTCTTACTGTTCTTTTTTGTAAAATAAATACAAAATCCATATCTGCAGCAATACCGCACGACATAACACTATGAAACTAACCATATTATACTGTCCTGGAAATATCTACATCTGTGAGTTGTCCGATTTTACGTACGAGGGTCAAACTGAAAGTTCTTAGAAAATCAAAAACTGATTAGATTAGCCAGTTATTAGTTTTATTATATCTTTTCAAAATATTGTCCATTCACGTCAATACACCGCTGCATGCGATGGAACCACTGGGAAAAGCACTTTGCCCACTCGTCCTTAGGGGTCTCTTCAATGGCATCGCGATACGCAGCCACCGCTTCTTCAGCATTCATAAACCGCTTTCCTTTAAGTTTTTCTTTAATTTTTGGAAATAAATAAAAATCACAAGGCGCGAGGTCGGGGCTATACGGCGGGTGACCCAGTAATTCAACGTTTGATGTCGCCAAATAGTCGATCGTTCGCTTGGCGGTGTGCGACGAGGCGGTGTCGTGGTGAAGGAGGATCCTACTGCGAGGTCGTTTCTCTCGAACTTTTTCCAAGACAAGTGGCAAACAATTGGTAGTGTACCATTCTGCAGAAACTGTTTTTTGATCCTCTAACACAATTGTTGCAAAATGACCTATCCTTCCAAAGAACGAGGCCACCATTTTTTTTCCCGCACTTCGATCTCTCTTCACTTTAGTTGGCAACTCCTCGAAAGGAAACACCCACTGAGCAGATTGTCTTTTGGTTTTAGGATCATAACAGTAAATCCAGCTTTCGTCACCTGTTAGTATGTCGAACACAGCATTTGAGTCACCTCCGTTAAATCTTTCAATCATTTTACGACACCAATCCACACGATGGAGTTTTTGAGCCTCAGTCAAATTATGAGGTATCCACCGGGCGCAAAGCTTCCTGACCGCTAAATGTTCGTGGAGGATTTTGTGCACTTGACTCATACCGATGCCTAAGCTTGTCCGAATCTGTTGATAGGTCACTCTTTTGTCAGTCTCTATCATACGCCGCACAACACAGATGTTATCTTCAGTCGTCGCCGTAGAAGGCCGTCCCTCACGTAAATCATCAGTGAGATTAGTGCGACCACGTTTAAACTCATTAAACCAGTTGTAAACAGTCGCACGAGATGGGGCTTCATCGTGAAAGGCCAATCGTAGTCTATCATAACTTTCTTGTTGACTTAAATGACATCGAAAGTCATAAAAAATCATTGCACGAAAATTTTCTCGTGTTAAATTCATGATGACGTGACACAGACAATTTTCAATTTGCCGCCAAATCGTAAAACAAATGACAAATGAATGAAATATATACTCAGTAATATTGGCAAAGAGTTATATTTTCAAATTTTAGAATTATTTTTTTATTATATTGTTTATAAGTGGCCAGTTCTAAGAACTTTCAGTTTGACCCTCGTATTACGTAGGCAGCAGAACTAAGTTTTCCGGCCAATAATGAAATGTGATGATGCCATTGCAATTTAGATTCCTACGTTATACCCAAAATTATTGTAAAATCAACCAACTCGAGCTTTTCATCGTTAAGTTTGAGTACTGTTAGTTCTGCTTTCACATTAGGTAACATAAAATTTATACATTTCGTTTTTTTTTCAGCATTGATATCTATATATTGTATAGTTTGAGTTCTGGAACTGAGGTATGAGAGACAGTATTAGTTGAAGGTCAGTGCCTTCAATACCATAGTCATTTAGCTTCATTTCCAGTGTTCAATGCTCAACGCAATCTAATATTCTAATATTCATTCTAGTATAATGCCTTGGATAAGTCAAAAAATACTCAAAGAGCATTCTATACTAGCATCAGTAGTAGAGTGAGCTTTTGTAAAACCATATTGTTTAGTGTGAAATAATTTATTTGAGTTAAAGTATGACAATAACTGATCAAGAATTATTTACGTAACATTGGTAATATTGATATAGGTCTACAATTATTCCCCTATTACCGGATTTGAAAGAGGTATAACTTTATTAAGCTTAATAAGATATGGAAAGTTTCTTCATCTATACAACGGTTAAATACGAGTATATCAGTCAAGTAAGGGGCTATAGCACTAAAGTTTAGATAATATTATGAGAAATGCCCTATAAATCGCAAGTGTTTTTTTTTTATTTTGAGACATTTGAAAGTTTTAATAATATCTAAGAAATTAATATATTTAAACTGGCTATCTCCCTTAGGCACAGATGTTGTTACAATTGGCATGTTTATAAAATATTTATTAAATATATTAGCAATTTTATCATGAGACTTGATGGTCGTATTATTATAATTAGGTGTCAGAATATCTTCACGTATTTCACGTCAGAATATATTTCTTACCGGTTGGAGAATATTCTAAAAATTGATGTGTTAAAAATTTAGTGGACTTAGTTATGTTTTCCATAGGTCTCAGGACGTACTGCTTTTTTATGTTGTCTTGAAATTTTTTTTTTTACAGTAGATACACTATCATGAGCTCTTTATTTATTAAATTTTAGCGTAGTCATTTTTTTTAGAGAGTCGTATATGTGTTGACGCCATTACCGATGACAGAGATCTTCTTTATTTTTTTTATTGGGCGGGTGGAATTTATCAAACAGATTATATTATCTATCTATTATCCACTTGAGTCGTGTCTTTCTTTTTTTTAGGGTAATAAAAGATGTAAATAATGTAATATCAATAATATACGTATACTTATAATAAAAGCCTGATACTAGTAGACACTGGTTTTACGGTTCATTACATTCCAAGTTGTTTTGATTTTGTTATTGGATTTTTTTATTTTCTCTTTAATAAAATTTTATTTTGCTAATGAACACACCTTTTTGAATACTTTCGAGTAGTTGATACGTAATTAAGTAGTTTTGATTGTGGTTATATTTTCTTAAATCGTATAATTCACAAAGTTTGTTTCGACTTTTATAAATACCAGTCGTAGCCGAACGGTTCGGCGTAACTTTTACGGTCTTACACAGATAAGCCTTCTCAATTTTATTTTTTATAAGATAGAACAGATTACTGTAAAGAGCATCAGAACTATCATTTGGGCATTTCATCTAAATAAATTTTTCATCTTTAAATTTATCTAAATGCATTTTTGAAATGATCTAAGTGTATTTTAGTAATTGATCTACATTAAATAATTTAAAGCTTATTAATCATATGATCTAAGTAGATATATGTTGATATTTTATATGTTCAATTATCTTTTGAAATATTTGGTAAGTATATGTAAGCTCAATCCTATTAGATAAGTAGATAACACAATTCCACAACTTTTGCTACACTTTTATATTTTTAGTTGCATTAAAAATCACTTCACTAACAGCCATAACGTCTTCGGTGTTAATATAGTTATTTCAATGCAATTTTTATTTAAAGTTTATATTTTTACCCTACAATAATATGATGTTTCTTTTTATTTGTAATTGATACAACCCTAATCTATATAAAATTAAATTTACGATGTTAGTATCATAAGATATTTAAGTTTTCGTTTTAAGGTTTCCTTAATAAACAAGGAACCCTAATAGTTTTGCCATCTCCATCCTTCTGCGGTTTAGCTCAAAAACGATTGCCACTTGGAAGTTGTAATTTGAAATGAGTATACATACACGTTAATTACGCCGACAAAGTGGTAAAGTCAACTTTCGGAAAAAAAAATGTATGGTAGCTCCCCCCTTTTTTTTTTTGACGCTGAGAAATGCATTACCCATACCCGCTTCACCCTGCGCGGGCTCCACGGGTGATGTGGGACTCCTCCTGTGGCCCTAGACAAGAAACAGGAGTTTACCCACTAAAACTCAGCGATGTCCCTCTCATGGAAGGCGTTGCGCAGGATCGACCCGAAGGCCATACACCGCGCGGATGGTAGCTCCCCTAATGTAAAGTGGGGCTGATATTTTTTTTGTCTTCCTCATAGTGTGGGACACCGTTAGATAAATTTAAAAAAAGTTAAGGCCGTTAAAGAGCTAATTTTCGTTAGAGTCAAGTGTTACCCCTCTACCAACTATACGATCATTGGTAAAAATTCAAATGTAACAGCAGTAGTATAAAGTAAAACTATCATATTTAAGTTAGCTGTTCAAGTTTATGACTAATGGTCGACCAATTGTATTTATCTCGATAATTTCAAACATCTCCATAAAAAACAATAAACATTTTTTTTAAACTTTTAATATATAATGGTACGGAACTCTTCGTGCGTGAGTCCGACTTGCACTTGGTTGGTTTTTCTATCCTATAATCTGCGTGCGAAAATATTCACTAACAAACAAGGTTAAGTGTAATTCGATCTCGCGAGGAAAGTATTCTGTTCAAACTTAAATAAAATTTTTGTGTTTTTATTATAGCGGCTGTAGCGTCATGTATATAGATCCTGGTTGTTTTTGTATATTAAAACATAAACAAATAACGGCCTCTTCAGATGCATTACGGATCAAAAGTTACAATACTGTTGCACATGTATGCATAGACAGACAGACAGCGGAGGCATATTTATACGGTTTATTGACTATCGTGAACATTTTTATTTAAATTAAGATTGTAAAATGTTTCATAGTAGAAAGAGCGATCCATTTGCAAATCTAAGTGATCTACTTTGTAAAATAATTCCCAATATTTAAATAAACCACAGAAGAAAAATTATATGTATGTACACTACATGGAATTTTTAAGGATTGGCCGAAGAAACGGAAATTGGGGCGGATTGATACATATACAATATTTGGCCGATTTTTGTACGTAATTGTGATAACTTATATTTATCAAAAAAATCCTCACAAATCAAACACAACCCAATATGAAGCTGATATAAATATAGATCAATTATTATATTTACAATAAACAATAAAAACGAATAAAATTAGGTCTAGTCTTACTTTGAAGCGATAATGTATTATTTATTAGCATTATATAAATATACTTATTGATTATCCTCATTCAAACTATTTCTCTTATTAGAAAAACGATAGTAAGATAAGAAAATTCTTATTATATAAAAACATTGCGTTATACTATTATAACATAAGCAGTTACGTGTTTATCGGACCAATGTAAATATTGCAGTAATTAAAGTTCTATATTTTACTTCGAATTTTGCTATAATAGATACAATTTGTTTCTAATATAGCTATCGATAGCAAAATATACCAACACTAAATCCATATTTTTTAAGTCTTAATTTCTGTTTCAATTTTTGTTATACTAATATTTGATTAAGATTTTTAAAGAAAATTAAAATTATAGAATGAATAATGGCTATTTTTGAAAACTTTTCTAGATTTCAACTGTTCTACTCATTTTTTTTCGCAAAAATGCTTTATGAGTTTTAGTGTTAAATTAGTGTGAAATGTAAAATGTATTAAATAATTGTATTAAATAATACACGTATTAAATCTTTGAAAATAATAATTATATGATTATCTTATTTGAACTTTAATGTTTTTTGGCACGGAACGGTTTTTGAAATAGGTTTTAATTTTTTATATATCTTTTACGATACATGATTAGCACGTAAATTTTTCCTGCATTTACTAATGCTATTCTCAATAAGTACTTAATTATTGTAGGTGAGATTAATGTTATTTTTGTAAGTTATTCATAAATGAAATTTGAAAGATCATTTTCGTTCTAATCTTAGTAAGGACATAATATAATTTAATATAAACATTATCCTAACTAAATAATAGTTATTTTTGTAGTCTTAGTATTTAGGGAAAGGATCAGAGCCCTTGACATGTTCAAGTATTTAACGATCCTCAGATAAAATAAAAAGTGCTTAGCCTGTTAGCAGATGTGTCAGTTACTGCCATTTTAAATTGTATTTGATTTAATTTTATGTTTCTCAATAATTTTGAGGGTCGTTTATTATTTTTAATGACATTGTTATCTGATGTGTGTAATAAAAGTATGATAAATGTACTATTTATTTATTTCCCGAATCTTGCATTGTTTGTTGTAGGTATGCGATTTACAAAAGTTGCTGTGACGACATTATACATCTATCAAGGATATACAATTTACGTCACGAACTTTTTATTTTATTACTGCAATACTTATTGTCATTATTAATTACAATGCTCATACATTAATCATTAACATACCACGAATTGTTAATTATTTATTAAATAAATATAACTAAATAATTAATGAAAGAGAATTAGTATAGAATAAAATGATCAACAAGCTCAGATCACAAGGTTAGTCTATATGGCGTTTTGTAAACCAAAAATACTGGTTCTAGCGAGAAATTATCTCGAGATCTTTGACAATCTGAGCATTGAAACTCGAATAACTAGTCTTCTGCTGTCGAAATTAATTTGGCAGTCATTAACAAACTTTTTATTAATCTATGTCATAGATTAAAGAATAAGACAAACGAAATGAAAAGCAATTTCATTGTGTTCTGTCCTACTTCATGATGACATAAAAATATGTAAGTTAGTAGGACCGACGACTAAAGTTCACGATATGTCTAAATTCAATTATAAGTGTATCTGAGCGGTAAAGTAGCGCTGATGAAGACATTTAAATAACTTATTTCAAATTAAAGTCCTGACTTATTTTCCTTTAGCATCTATCTCGTGATAAGTTTATACAAATATAAACTTACCTTACTTACCATGTCAAAATATGGTATATGTTTTATTTAAATAGAGAGATTAGAAATAACGTCGAATAAGTAAGTAAGTAGTAAACAGAATTATCTTTAATACGTTATTTACAAAAAGCCTACAAACCTCACCAAGGTAATGGCGGCAACAATGCCAATTCATAGTCAAGGGTCGTCGATATGAATTGCCTACTGTATGTTAAATATTACCACGAACGACTCCAAGGAGTGCTAAGTGTGCCAGGCGTGGGAAATATGTAAACCATACTAAATACTGTGTTTATTATTTTTCTCTATACATTGTACTCAAATGTACAATCAGAAACACGTACGGAGTGCCTATCCTGTTCTGAATCGTTCGTGCGGTACGACCGCCTGTAGTGTAGTCATTTCTTTAGCGAGGTTTTATTAAACGCACGCGTGGTTACGTTGCGCCGGCGCCGAACGCGCATACTAATCGATGTGTTGACGTGATCGATAAATTTCGCTGTTTTATTAAAAGTTAAAGTTTTGTTATTGGGAATATATGAGATCGATTCGGTGTACAAAATGGAGCTTTGGACGTTAATATTGTGCGGTGAGTACCATATGAAAATTAGAAATACTTCCCTTAAAAAAATCTAAATGTCACAATGTGACAATGCTTTTATTTAAAAAGAAATAAGAATTTTTTTAATTTTACATATAGGTTCTCTAGAATTTGTATTGAATATTTTTATGAAAATAACAAATACAAATTAAACTTAAATGGTTTTAATATTAACTGTTCAAAGATTATGGCATGAATTTTGTTACATATTTAACAACTGTCCTTTTAAAGTTGAAAAGGTTCTTGAAACGAGATTGTACTCAATGCCAATGTTTACCAGTAAAAAACCGCAGTGGAGGTAATACCAGCGTAATATGCAACAACGCCAGTTAATGAAGATAATGGTATAACTTGAAGTACTGTTAACAATAACTGATTACTTATAAATAAATATTTGTCATAATACTTACATTTTATAATTGCTACAAATATAAAGCCAAACGTTTGGATACAATAGGTCACTGCATTTGGATAATTTATTGACATCATAATAAGAATGAGGATTTAAAGAAGGACTTATTAAAATTTAAATAAAATTACTGAAATTCAATAGGTAAGTAGCGTTAGCGTAGATTGGTTGTTTTTTTTATTTATCTAACTATAAAAATGATCTGTAAAGGAAAGACCAAGGAGTAACTAACAATTAGTAAATGAATTTTATACTACATGAATGATATAAAAATAACATTATTCTTCTAAAATCCATACACATTTAAAATATGCCGCAATTTTTAAATAGGGTTTGAGTTGCGGTCTAGCAGAGAAATACATTTCGTAGTAAAAGATTAATTTATATACCACAAGTGAAACGACGCGGCAATTATTAGCTTTGTCTCATGGTAATCCAAGAAAAAGAGAGAAAATGTTTATAACGTCTACATTTACTCTTGTAATCGTATTCAGGACTTCTGAGACAGTGACGTCATGAAACGCGTGCGAGCCACCAACCATGGAGGTCGTCACTAATGAGGGAGAAAATTATTATAATAATATCAAACAAATAACGAGGCAATTCAAATTAGGTCAAACTATTACATGTAGACTAACTGGATACTATCTTTTAAAGTTATCCAACAAAGAATTATACAATATACGTGCAATTTCATTATGGTTCGTTGTTAAGTCACAGTTTTTTAAGTCACTATGAATCAAAGATATTTAACTTCAGTCAAGCATCTACACTTAAGCACGCAAAGATTATGTTAGCGTATAGTAAATAATCTAAATCACGAGAATCATATCTGAGCAACATTAAAATGTTGTTAAGTTAAAAATATAGTTTATGTTTCTGGCTTACACGTTAAATGCGTTTGTCACTTTCAATATTTTGTAACAGCCGGAAGTTTATGCATATCTATAGAGAAGTATTTTAATAAGGTTCCTATTACGTTTTGTTTTGTTTTAATTTCACGTGATTATATGAGTTAATTGGATTGTAATAATTTATATTTTTATGGTTATAAGTAATTTCTAGAGCATCGTTATTTAAAGTAACATAAAAGTACAACGATTAAAGATGGCTTTTTCCATTCTACTATTTTTTTTAATCTAATCAAATTATGAAATGTATGTTAAAAAATATTAGTGGTTAAATTGGCGATTTGCACTCAAACTTTAAATTTTTCTTTTCTAAGATGTGATATATTTATCAATGCATTGTTGTCAATGCTTATGATAGAACTCTGGGGATCTATTTTAATTCTAATTTTGATTTGCCTCCTGGAAAGAACGATGTGGAGTTACAACAGTTTCTCGTGCAGAGGACTTACAATCTTGCGATAGTGGCGACTCGGGTCTATTGCATTGATAGTTTCGCCAGCATTGTTCGAAGTTCGGTAGAGTAAATATCTGTTGTTATTACTTGACCAGAAATACTATAGTGAATAGGTCAAACAGTTACCATTACCTTTTTATAGGTAAGCTTTCTTTAAGGGCACTATTGCGACGTTTTACTTTTAAAGTGAGCATGAACACTGCGAAAAATTATGGGATTTAAACAGCGCCTCTAGCTGGCGTAAACGTAACTAAATTTGGAAGCACGAACCACATTCGTAGCCTTATCATAGTGAAACCTTAACGATACTTAGAAGATTGCGAGCACGAATTGTTTTTTGGCGTGCGACGGCCATTGCATCTGTCGCTCTCGGTTCTCACAAAGAATCCACTGGTCGTAATTCGGCCTAATATTCCTCCCATCTGATTTTTTCTTTAAGTTTAAGTTTCTATTGAGAGAGCGTTAAACAAAAAACGCACTCGGTGTATTCATAAGCAGTCTTCTCTTTAAACGCATTCAAATGTTACTCGGATTTTTGGAGTATCCTTCATCACAATTTTGAGTATCCCGTTTAAACTGAATAAAACACAACTATAAGTAATAAATCGAATGTTTTCATTATTTAAAAACAAATCTCATAGGTGATCATGTGAAAAAAGTTTCTATCGAAAATTTCACACCATGAAGATTTTATGTCAATCAAAAGTGTCAAAGTGTACGGGAATTTCATATTTCAACTCAAAGTTATATTTACATTAATAAAATGCACATTCTCAGATTAAAATAAGATAAGATTGTGTAATATATGTAACCCATCGCTGAGATAGGGTCCATGTTGACCTCCCTCTGTTTGTTGCCGTTTTTTTTTCTATTTTTGTACATGGAAGTGGTCAATAAATATTTTTCTTTTCTTCTAACTGCCTGACTCACATTGTTTTAATTAACACAGCATTTTAGGCATACTGAAAAAAAAAACAATACTGCGAAGCATATTCGGTTATTAAACATACTCTTCTAGTTTAATTTAAAGAAACACACGCGCATGAGTAATAAAAATAACACAATGCTCTATTAAAAATAATGCGCGTCCTTCTAATTACAATAAAGTTTATTAACTTTGTATAATATTCATTGAAAGTCAACTCTATTCAAACTTTAAAAAAAAATTTAACCCAAATAAGATTGTCGATAGTTAAATGATAACTGCATGTTAATTAGGTATTAAAAATAAATGCTAATTAATTCTAAAATTATAGACTTCAAATGTTCTTCAATGTCGTGTGCATAATAAATTTAGAGTAGGTTTGTATAGGTATTATCTAATCGATTAAACAATTTAATATAATAGATAACAGATTAATCAAACTGATTTGGAGATGACATAACCGCGGACTTATACGTTTTAATTTAAACGCACGAGTGAAGTGTATCATGTTTTCTAAAATTGAATTTTGGTGATGTTTTCTTAATACTAATAAAATATTTTCATTTACTGAAATTACAAAAAGACGATGGAGAACTTTGTGCTTTGTTAAAAGGAGAAGAATGTATAGTTAATATTTAGTAGTAGTAACTATACTAAATATTAGTATATATATAAACAGGAAACATTTTATTGTTTCTTTGTTTGCATCGATTAGGCTCCGAAATTACCGGACTGATTTAAAAAAATTATTTTACGTTTAGGTAGCTACTTCATATAGGCTATAACTTACTATTGCGAAGTTACGGGACAACAACGTTAGTATTATCTTAAAAAACAAAGTGGCTGATTGAGTTGTTGGAATGTTATTCTCAAGCTTCTTGACAGACATTTGAGGCTTTTAGTATGAAACATGATTGACACTTTTATGGCTAATATGTTAAGCGAGGATCTCCGCAAATTAACCGCATTAATGTTTCCGTTTCTTTTAATTAATGTTCAGAAAATTTTACATGTCAATAAATACTTTCACTTGGCAGAGAGTACAGTGACTATTGACCTTCACAAAATTGCCATTAACAAGATAGATCGTTACATAACAAATGCAGATATAATGGCGCTTTTTTCAATGTTAAAAATTGTATTTGAGTTAATTGTAATTTGTTTTAACACAACACTATTATTTTGTCGTTTATTTTATATTTTATACATTACATTGATAATGTAGGTCGTTATTTAGTGCAAGAAAAAATAATAGCCTTACCAAATATATGAAAACTATTTTTCAAGCTGGTGAATGTATTGTAATTCTACATCAATCATGGTTGTTCTTGCTTCCGTGTTCTGCCTTAATAGACCAATGAGGTAATATTCTATGCAGTTTATGTTGTGATGACGCATCTAGGGCAAACCGGACTGGTTACTATATTTTAAAGTAGAGCGAACAGTTGCTCTGGTGACCGCTTAGCTTGCCTTATGAATTATATTCGAAGTAATATAATTAAATTGATTAAATTTTCCCACGGTTAAAAATGTTGATTAAGCTCTAGAGATTTCAATTTGGTTTATCATTTTTAAAATAACGCTTCATTAAATTATGTGAGATATTTATTAAGAGCTGAATAACGTGACGCGATACGTTAAGTGTCTGTGTTACCGACGAAGGCCTTTCGATAAACACCGCCCGTATGTTTTTTAAGTAATTGATAAATAATGTTTAACGTATCTTTGATTTTTACCATACATAGTTACATATATGTAAAATCAATTTTTATATGTGAAACTCTATTCCCTTTAACAATCTAGTTTGGTGAAAATAAGATTTCTGAATATGGCCTAGTTTCTTGATACAAGTATTTATAAATTGATTTCAAATTTAATACATTACAATTCCGTAATACGAAATATAATTTCAGTTATTTTACCTACAGAGAATTCTATTGCGTGTTGCAAATGTTAAAAAAATCGTTTAAAGGTTTTCGTAGTTTGCAATACTGTGTATCTGTTTAACTTTATTAGTGATTTAATTATTCAATTTATTAATTTCCATATTTATGCAATGTTAATTTATCATAAACAATTTCATAACAGATCTTCACACTGTGTAATGATAACTTACATAATTGTCACGTCACCGAATATCTTAAATATCTCCGATTAATTTAAAATAGAAACTTTCGTAAACAAATATGACATTGAACTGACGGCACGCGCTTGAGACTGTAATATTGCAATTAGCTTAGTTAATAAGTGTGCCAGAATGTGTTAACTGTCAAGGAATGCACCTTTTAC